TTGTTCGCTATTTACTTTTAGCCGTATGTGCGCTATCGTTTTGGACATTCCAATGTACTCTATGTTTTTGGCATGCCGTTTTACGGATTCTATGTTGTATACTATTAGGTTACTCAAAGGCCAAAATGTGGCTGTCGTTTACTATTTTTTGGTTGCCATGTTTTGTTTTCATAGAGAAAAAGAATGAGTTTGTACAATGTTTGTTGAACTCTCTCTCTCTCTCCTTCATTTGTACGTTCATCATAGAAAATTCGCTCAACACCGAACCAAACACCATTTGTTCAACCGTTCAAATGCCGTTGCCTATCTTTGTTCGATATACACAAACCAATATTTTATCAACGTCAATGTACATTTCGAACAACAAACCGAAAACAAGCCAAACGTATAGCTTGTTTTTAGTTTTACTGAATTCAAATCAATGTGGAACAGTCTATGTATTCAACATTCGTGTGAAAGTGGACTGCAGCGAAACAGCCTGATGTATATTCCATTGCATACACTATCAAACTAACTTTCAACCTCCATTTCGAGTCGATAGTTTTTCAACAAATTGCGGTTTTCATTCTGGGCTGCAAAAAAAAAAATGTGCACCGCTCACAAGCGGAAAAACACACTACCTCTCAAGTTCAATCCATTCCCAAATAAATAAACATAAACAACCCGAACTCAAACTCTCTGAAAATGAAATAGTAACACACAACAATGCACAGAAAGCTTTCGCTGCAATGCACATCGTTCGAGACACGCTACATGGATAGTGAAATTGTGTTCTTTTATTTCTGCTAACGAAGTCGAGTATTTGATTTGCGAAGCGTCAATAAGTTTTGAAGCAGTAATACATCGGCCAAAAATGAGTATTTTTTTTTTCATTTTGCTTTGTACAGAAAACTGAAAAACAAAATCATGATAATGGAATCACGAAAAGCCAGAAACTTGTGTGCAATGAACGGGGGGGAAAGAGAGAGACTGCAGTGAGCTGATTGTTTACAACGCCAAAACCAAAACTGAAAACAAGCCAACTCACCGCAATATTTGCGAGCGAAAGAGATCTACGCGACTATAAAGTGGAAATGAACTATCCCAGTTCGTTTAATGTACATAATACCTATATTAGAGGCTGTTAATTGCATGTAAAATGTCGGCTGAAGAAATTTATGGATAAATAAAATACACCGAATTCCATAAATTATATTTTTAGTACTTCACAGTACCATACAGCCAAATATGGTTCTGGCGCATATTTTATGGTGGTTTTTTATTCATTTTCGCTCTTAAATCTTTGTTATATGCCCATTTTTCTATATTTATTTTGGCTCTACGAGGGGTTTCGTGTATGTCATAACACAAATCAACCAAGTGCCCACAATAAGACTGATGTCGTTTGATGATTGAAAAAAAAAATTCAATAAAATATTAGTTCTTCGTTCATATATTTTTTACTATTTCAAATGTGTCCTGACTTTGAGATAGTTGAAATTCGGGGAAGTGTTGAAAATTGATTGAAATCAATCTGTTCATCACCATGAACCATTCATGTTTTCATTGAATGTATATCGTTCCACGTCTAAATTTGGTCAAATTTAACATATTTTTTATCTAACCAGTAACCACACTCGAAATTACTCGAAATTGCGGTTTTTTGCGCGTGTTGACACATTAAGAAAATACAAACTGTCTGTCCGAAATTGTGGTTTAAACAACTAGTTCCATTCAAAATGAAATTTTTCTATTCACAAACCTAAAACCACATTCAAGAATGGCGCCCAAGGCCTTGATATATAATTAAAATGCGATGTTAGACAAAGAAGGCACCTGCTAATGCAACTGAACAGCCATTGGTGGTTTTCCGTGGTTTTGCTCTGTTGACTTGTTTTGACAATTCGAATGTGTCCATTTTGGAGGTTACGAATGTGATGCGTTTATTGATGGATGCAGTGAAAGTAGATGAAACAGATGTGCACATTTCCTGCAAATACCACCAAAAAAAATCAATTTTGTTCGAAAGAGTCTGTGTAATCTTTTTTTATACAATCAGTGCAACGTGTCGCGCGAGTGATCGGCAACGCAGAAAAAAAAAACAGTGCCGAAGGAGCAGTTACGATAAAGTGGTGAAAATCTATAAATTACTTTTAATGAATCGTGGCATTGTGATTGGTGAGAGTGTCTTTCTGGTTAACACCATTACATACAATCGACTCACACTTGCTATCTTCATTCAATTCGAATTATACTCATCGTGTGCGAAGTTTAAGTGTTCTTTGTAATTTGAGTTAATGCAATGTTAAATAAACCATAAACAACTGTTTGATGGATTTTAACCACAGTCGCAACATACTAATTAAAGTTTTATGACATAAGTTGTAAGTGTATGTTTTGTTGTGTACTTTTTTGTTTTTATCTCACCCGCCAAAGTGATCGCACCGACTTTGTGCCATCGTGCGTGTTATATGTTTTGATTCTGTTGTGATCTTTCTCTCTCTGTATGTGTCACTCCCTCTCTATCTTGTTGAATATTATATAGGTGCATTCGGCAGTTGTACGCTTTAGCTTTTCCCGATGGACTATTTCTCCTAACAACTTGTATGTGCGAACGAACGAAGAAACTTTTTAAAAAAAGTATTACGTCAACCACAGCAAACGAACGTATCGATTCTTGCTTCGTTTCCCCTGGATTTTTCAATGCAGAGAAGAAAAAAAAATCGAACAGAAAAAACCAACTGAATCGAAACGTGAAAAAAGTCCGAGTCAATTGAATGTCTTTTGACTTTCACAGTTTGGTGTAATTATGCTTAGTTCAGATAATGACGGTGACAAAACCCACATGACAATATATACATATTTGAGGCGAAAGTGTACACACAAAAGCAATGTGACAGTGCGTTTGCCGATTAAATCAGTTGGATAATGCCCATTGACAATAATAAAGTGTCTCTCGCTTCTTTTTTACTATGTCTATAGCGCTGTAATAAAGACAAGGTGCGCAAAAAAGCATACACACACAGTGAAAATGTCGTAGATTTGAGTTTTTGCACACGAAAAAAAATGTCGAGGAAAAATGTTATATCGAATTTAAATCACCATTTGCTCCATTCCAAATGAAGTTTCTTCACCATTCACGGTGTACGTTTGTGTGTGTGTGTGTGTGTGTTGTGCCGTATTTCCTTTTTTTCTTATTGTTCTGTGTTGTTTGTTTTCTTGGCTTTTGGCGTTGGCATTGTACTTTTTCTCTTTCATTACATTGCACAAAGTCGGACGTTGTGTCGGTGTCGTGCGCCCAGCTAAATTCTCCGACATTTCTCATCATCAAGTACATGGAGCACTAGCTTTATCATAAAAATACCGACGATTTATAAATTATATTTTTTTTTAATAACTCTCATCAATATCGATATTAAACATGATCCTTTTCCAAAAGAAGAATATGTTTGATTTCGCATTTTTCTCCAAATTTCAGTACACGCGTCTTTAATTCGTTATGTGCATTTTGCGCGCAAAATTTTACATGATCGCTGTGTATGCCTCGACACACGAAAACGTTTACAACAGACAAAAAGCGACCGAATACGAAAATTCCGAAGAAAAGAAACCAACAAGACATGTGCATACGGTATATATATATATGTATGAGTGTTAGTTGTGCGGTTGTAATTTTATCTACAGCCAGAGCAATTCTAAAAACCACATTGCACAACTCTAACACAATCTCTTTCACTCTCTTTCTCTATCTCTATCTTTCTGTGTATCACTTTTTCCGTGATATGTAAATATGTTGAATGCAACTTTTCAACTTGGGCCCAAAGTTGATTTGAATAAATACGATGTTAGAAAGAACGAGAGATAGATCGACCTAACTTGAATTGAATGCTTTGCCACAATGAGAAAGAGCGAAAGAGCTTCATATTCAAAGACTACATTTGAATGTCGAAATTGAAATGGCCACACCCACCACGTACAAATCCAGTGGCGTAGACATACACATTTGATGGAAGGTTAACATTTTAGACACTTTTCAATCATTCACGATTTCTATTCTTATCAAACAAAAGTTTGAAACGAATTGTGTGAATTTTGTTTCAAAATTTTCGAAATTTTTCATCAAATTGTTGAAATGTAAAAAAATGCCAAAGAATTTAAATCGTTTTTTGTATCCACACACAAAAAAACGAGCTTATAAAATGGCATTTATTGTCGCAGAGAGCAAACCGATTTGAAATTGAATAGATTGACCTGAAGTAAACTAAAAACGTTAAGAATATTTATCTCACCGTGGTTCAATGAAGTGTGATATATTTTGCTATCTATTTTGAATAAGCGAAGGGTGTTTGAAATGTATGCTATTTTTCTTTATCGTTTCAAGCTGGCGCCGCCACCCAGTCCATCTATCTTATTCACTCGGTTGCTTTATGAACGGTGTATGCCATTGTATATGAATGCGCTCGATGATGACAAATATGTTTCATTCACTCAGATCATTTGCTCCGCCCATTGTTCATGGGAAGTTATAAAAACTCGAACCAATCATTGTGCACTTAATCAAGTATGTGTGTTGTACAATATCCAGACAATATTGTACAGAGCTACCACGGGCACTGAGCACGGGTGATACACAGCTATGTATGTGTGAAAAACGAATGATGTGATACATACACATCGAACATTGAACAAAACGAACAAACGAACGTGTATAACATTCGAATGCTAGAGATCTTGTAAGACTGTGTATGCGCATCGGTGCTTGTTGCGCACACACTATACTAGAGACCAAAGCACGAGAGCGAAACAGAGATAGAATCGAATAGCAAGTATCGTCGATGTTGCCTTGTTATTTGCGCATTGCATTTCTCATATTCTCTCTTTTTCTTTTCATGCACATACAACCAAAACGCTTGAAACGAATACACAAGACACAGGCACACAAGACCGCTGCTACGTATATGTTTTACGGGTTTTTTTATAATTTCATCGCATCACAGTCACTAGTCTTTCACGCACTTTGTTCGTGGTTGGTCGCGCGCAACAAAACTATATATCGTTTTTGGTTGTTTATATATTTATTTGGGTTTACTTATCGTTACAACTAACGCTCAGTTTTTTCTGGTTCTCTCGTTTTTTGGCCCAAATTTTATACGAAAAAAAAAACACATAAAATAAAATAAATAATAATTTCCAAAAACGATAAACCAAAAATATATATACGGTGTGGATCATCAATAAGCATACAGTTTTTGATTTTTCATTTGTTGAAAAATCGCAATCTTCGATTGAAAATTACATATAGTTTAATTGAATACACGTGTGACCTGAGACCAATCGATACAACAGCCGTTTTGGAAAGCATTTTTATTGCGTATTCTCACTGGAAGGAAGAGTTCACAAGTGATTGAACAAAATTGTGACTTAAAAAAACACAATATTTTATTGTTATTAAAGAAAAGAACGCATTGTGTGAAACGGTGTTTAATTGTCGCGAACATCATTGTCATCATCACCCTCAACATCATAATCAATATTTATAGCACATTGTCGCAACGCAGCTCTGCATTATTGATCTTAAAAAATCGTCAATTTGTGCATATTTCGGAGAATTTTGTTATCAATCCACGCGGTCGAACAATCCATTTCTCTTTCACTGTTTGAAAGGTGTTATTTGTCTCTCTTTGTGTGTATGTGTGAGTGTTTCATCAGTCACAGTGTATATTTTAACTAATTACGCGAACAATCAAATGCAGTTTAATCAATTGGCGTGCTTTGATTCACACATTCTGGTGTGAATTACAATTAAAAACAAACATTTTTTGCATTAGTTATTTGAGATATTTGTGAAAAATCGGATATTATAATCGATTAGAAGAGATCATTCAGCGAAGATAAATGAATTTATCCAACAATTCACTCAACCAGGATAAATTCAAAGTGTAAACGGAATTCCGTCGCGTGAACTTAATAAAAGTGATGTGTTTGGCCATTAATTTGATCAAGTGAATTCCGATGAAGAATGAGGACACTGAAGAAGGGAACAATTGATGTCGATGATTTTTGATTTGTTTTAAAATCATCGTAGTGTGAATTCGATAAAGTGTATTTGTTTATTTTTTATATTCAACTGTTCCGGAACTTACGTTGCATGAGATTACTCAACTGTATATACATGCCGGTTATAGAATTTTTATTTTGAATGTTTTATGTGCATATATATATGTCAACTGAACTAGCTGGGGTCATTCTTTAAAACCAGTGGTGACTATAAATCGAAACAGAACGAAAAATATTATTAGAACGGTCACCGAAAAATCCTTTCAACAACAACAGCCAAATAATAATATTCATAAAAGTGTGTATAGTGTACAATATATGGTTGATCGCAGTGCGCTCTTAACACATTTCGATATTGTAGCCATCACGTGTAAATGCTCTCTCATTATCCAGCCGATTTGGATATAGTATTTCGCAGCAGGTAGTCCATAATTCTCACCAAAATCGAGTTGAAGCATAAAGAAGAGAGACTTCAAGAGAAAAAGAGAACAAGTGAGAACGAAATACAAGAAAAGAATAGAAAAACTAACAGAGAAAAACGTCAGCAAAGAAATAAATAGCGAAAATCATCATCGATCGAGCCGACCGATCGTGCGAAGAAGCAAAGAGAAAGCAAAAAACGAGAGCAAAACGCACGTCAAAGACACAAGAGTTTCAGAACATAAAGGCAACGGCAGCAAAAACAGCATCCGAAAAAGAATCGAATAGTTTTCAAATCGTCAGTTGTTATTAAAACGCAGCATCACCGCATCATAAAAAAAGGTGTCAGAAGTAACGACTTCAAATTCAAAAAACCGATTTCGAGAAATAAGGCGCATTTTGTGATTTTTTTTACGCTGAACTGAACTTGAAGAAGTGCATTTCGCCAATTTTGTGTGAATTGTCCGAATTTTGTGAGATTTTTTTTTTTTTGATTGATAATACTTTTCTTTGTGTGAACAAACGAGCGAGTGATTTGGAAAATTTCTCGCAAATTTTTTGAACGGATTTGAAAAAAAGAGTATCGAGTAATAGATTGGCCAAAGGCGACAATTGTTGTTTGACAAAATATTGTTATTGTGTTTTGTCGTGTAATACGTCGATCAGTGTAATTGGATTGGATTTGTTCTGCGTGGCGCCGTTTTTATAGAACAGCCTAACCATACATTTAGATAAAGTGGCAACGATCAGCGGCAACACGCTCAACTTCACAGATTTGGGAAGCCCTTACGAGGGCAACCCAGGAACACCACATTCCGGCATCATGGATACGCCGGACGTGCCGCATACACCAAAATATTTGGACGGTGGTACTGTTGCAACCGCCGCCTCAAATAAATCTGCATTCGTCGAACTGCAACAGCACGGGTAAATATTTTCATTTTTTTTAATTGTTTCTTTCGTTAATAAGAATGTTTGTTTGTATTTGTTTAAAATGTACGGGTGTGCAGGGAAAATATCTAAACACTGAAGAGTGGAAAATAACAACAAATTTAATGAAATATCCAAATTTGAAGTTGAAAATGCGTAGAATCGGTGAAAATGTATGGCTTGTAATGAACGATGACTAACGACGGCGAAATGACTGTATGTGTGTTTCGTGTCCTGTCTGTTTTTTTTTGTAATATTTGCTCCCCAATGAGCCGGGACGAAATGCGTCGGTGTCATCTATTATTCAGAAATTCGATTTTCATATTCCAAAACACTCCAAAGAAACAACATATTTGAAAAAAAGTTCCTCTCTTCCAATTTCATTTTAAACAAACATAAAACGGTATCGATGAGTTTTTTTTCAGTTATGAATTAATTAAAATATAAAAACACAAGGAAGCGTGGCGTTTGCCACACACGACTCAAACAAAATAAAATAGAGAAAAAATCCCACGTCGCAACTAGCACCTTTGAAAAGTATGTTTTCAAAAAATAAATCCCCTCAAGTTCAATGTGAATAGTTTTCAAAATGTTTTTTTAAAAAATAACATTGATTAAAAATGTTTTCCGTAAATAGTGTTTCGGTTGATTTGTGTAAACTTTGACGACAATTTTTTTCACTATGGAAATCATATTGAATGTTCTGATGATGAGCGCTGAGTATGTTACCGCCGCCGTTGTTGGCATTTTTGTTGACAATGGATTTCATTTAGTTTTCAATGACGATAATCATTCAGGCGAAAACATTTGGTACGCGTTTTTAATGTCCACAGCTTTAAATGAAATACGGCTGGTTGAGACAAGAAACCCAAGGAACGATTTTATACGCGACAAATCAGTTTCATTTATGAGTGCAATGTTCCATTAAAAAAAGATATTTTTCGTGCTTATGTTTTTCTGCTTTACCTTCTTGAAACCAAAGAAAAATTCAATCACAACACACCACTTTATTATGTATATATTTTTCTCTCGTCAATACAATGTGTGTATGTGTCTCAAACTGATTTAACTTTATGAATAATTTAGCGCTCGAACAAATGAAGGTTTTCACAAGCAAACACTCAGGCTGGCATACACAGCACTTGCTAAATGAATGGAGTGATGAATCTTGTGAGAGAATCGTTGTAATTCTTGAAACACACACACACACACACACATGCACATACACAAACTCGAAAAATAAAATAAAATTAAAAGCTTACCGAAAATTTTAATTCACAGGCGTGTTTTCCGCGCCAGTAGATTAACAATGCACGCAAAAACCGTGAAAAGTGGTTGAAGAAAAGAGTTTTTATTTATGTGTTCATCCATTTCGACCGGTTTTTTTCTTTCTTTTTTCGTTTTAAATTTTTATATATATATTTGCCAAAAAAAAACTGTAGCAAAGAATTAAATAACATTTAAAACTATGTTTATTTTAAGTTTAGAATAAGCTATCGATTTAAAAGAAAAGAAGATATTACCGCCGTGCATTTATTATGCAACGATGCAACGTATATTTAACCAGAAGTCAAAAAGCTTGTAAAGTCACCGCCGCCGTCGCGGCCGAAAATAAAAACTAAAGCATAAATTTCAATTAAAATGAGAATCAAGCAACCGAAAATTATCAGCTTATAAAAATTTTGCATTTAGAATTGCGCGCCAAATTCACAAACCAAGAAAAGAACGAAAAGAAAACGCTATAAAAGAAAATAAAAATCAAAAAAAAAAAATATAACAATGTAGTAAAATAATAAAAACTCCTACCAATTACGGTGTTTTTCTTCGAAACAAACAAACAAAAAAAACCAACAGCTACAACAACCGAACTCGATGCAAATACACATTCGAAAAAAGGAACTAGCTATAAGAAAATCCGCATTTACACCGAGATTTTATGAAAAGACGAAAAAAGCAACCAAAACACACGAGGTAGTCGTAAAACGGTGCATACAGATTTTATTTGCTGGAAGTTTATGGTTTTATTATCGAAATCTTCGACACATCTTGCTAATAAATGCCATAAGTAGTGGCAGTTTGTCTCTTTTTCCTCTCTTTTTTTCGTTCGTTTGCAACTATATATTTCCACTACAATTAGTACAAGTATAATATAATATTTATGCACACCGAGATCTAGCTACTGGCGAAAAAAGTGTTCGTTTTAGTGTTCATTTATTTTTTGTTGCATACTTTTTCTCTCTCTCCCTCTCTCTGTCTCACAGACATACATGGCATGCAAGAACAAAAGCACTATCACACAAATCCCGATTACAAATTTGCACATCAGTTCCGTACCCGTTTTTATGAATATAACATTGTTGAGTGCGCGCATTCGATTTTTAATCAAGATATTAAGAGTAAATTTACGTCGTTGCTATTTTATATCGGTGTTGTTAAAGCAAAGAAAAATGAGTGATAAAAAATGTGGTTGTTGTTGTCGGATAATAAAAAAAGTGCCAAAAATAAAAATAAAAACGACGACGACGACGATGAAGGAGGATGCTTAGCAACATCACAGCTTTTGTATATTTTCTACGGTATGAATGAATGTGGTTTGGCCAGATTTTATGATTAGAACCAGCTACTTACTACTACTTTTGATGCTGCTGCTGTTATTGCTCGTTACTGCTGCTGGCTATGATCATCTGTGCACCCATTTGTTTTGCAACTGCAACAATACAGCCTCCACTCCGAGCAAAAAACCATTTTTTTTTTAATTCGATGTTTGTTAGAAAATGTATCAAATTCGGTACACATCCTTTTTATTTGTTTCGAAACAAGAGAAAGCAGCAAAAAAATGCAAGAAGTGTCATCAGTTTAAAAACTAGACGATGATGTAAAATGATGTTATAACCTGCGCTCCGATTACATTTGTATGTCTTTAAATTGAATACATTTGGCCAGGTAAATTTGGCTTGAGTCTCGAATCTTGGCACACATGAGAATGAACAAACAATACCAACACACACACGAATAAATAGTATATCTGTGTTCTATGAGAGAAATTATGTAAAAAAATATGTTCAACTATTTTTCTTGAAAAAATCAGTTCTTCGAATTCTATTATGAAAAAAAAAAGAAAAAAATAACAGGAACAAACTAGCTATTTATTTTTCATATTAAGTAAAACATGCATCTCATTAGCTGTTTTTAAAATTGATATTTATGTACGTGGACTTGGCAGCACCATATACTTTTTTCTACTTGTTCTATACGACACACAGAAAAACAACCGTAAAGAGTTAATCTAAATTAAGAAAACTGACGGCAAAAAAATATGAACGGCCAAGAAACAACAATGAAAGAATCCACAAATATATACAAAGCGTGTGTGTGTGCTAGTCTATATGAATATGTTTGTTGTGGCAAGTTTAGATACGCAAAGAGAATGATCTTATCTTTTCGTTGGTTCTGGCAAAGTGGCTGTTGATGCAAACTAACCGAACAACATCTTTCTTTCTCTATCTCTCGCACTTTTTTCGCCCTAGCTCAAGTCAACGAATGAAAAACTTGTAATATCAGAAATAATAAATTCAAATCAAATAAAATTTGCATACTTGTCTACTTTGAACACATGGTCTCTGTCTACCTTTCTCCATCTCATTTGCTCGTGATCGTGTGTGTCGTTGTTGTTTTTGTGTTTTTTTCCCTCTACTCCCAACTACCATGCGGGCAAAAGGCAATTGGTCTCGCGCGTTGTCATATTTTTTTATTATCTTCTTATTTACTATATCTAGAGAGAGAGAGAGAGAGAGAGTAAAGCATAAAAAAATTTCATTTTGCATATGCAATCTGATTAAATACCATAACATTTCACTAGAAATCTTCAGTGCAGTAGTCAGTCACCGGCAGCAAAAAAAAAAAAAAAAAAAAAACAAACAACCACAACAGCGACGAAACACAAAATTAGAAATTGTTTCTCTCTGTTTTTTTTCACGTCTACTTCTTCTTTATATTTGAAATTTTTATATTTTTTCCATCACAATTTAATCAAAAATGAACTCTCAAGATCTGTGTGCAGAAATAGAGACATACACACACATTGTACATGGTTATTTGACGAAGCGCGATGCATTTCAAAGCGGATCTGTTGTTGCAATACAAAGTAAATAGCAAACCAATTGAAAGAAAAAAAACCGTTTGCATTGCATACAATGTGTGCAGAAATCGGTAAAAATGTGAATCAAATTGGAAAAATTGATATACACAACAAATACAAGTCAATTTTTCTCTCGGTTTCGATACGTAGCACATAAATATATACAAGCCAAAACCGTCGAGCGCATAATAATTGGGGCAGAAAACTATGAAACATTGTATCCAGAGTGTGTATTGTGAATGTTATAAAAAATACACACCGATTTCTTTCATTCATATGGTTATTCATTGGAAGTCGCTGAAGATAGAAAAATCGTAAAAGAGAAATTTTTCTGTTTACATTTACTAGAATATTAGAAAGAATAGTGTGTTCCAATCAAAAAGGAATCAAAGAAATTGATTTAGAATCTAAAGGTATGGCAACTAAAGTATTTCTTTTCTCATTCTCTTTTTCCAGATATGGCGGTATCCGAGGCAGCTATCAACACTTTGGCGGCCAGGGTGGACAAGATTCGGGTTTTCCAAGTCCTAGAAGTGCGCTGGGTTATCCATTTCCGCCGATGCATCAAAATTCATATTCAGGTTATCACTTAGGGAGCTATGCGCCACCATGTTCAAGCCCACCAAAAGACGGTATGCATTTTCAGACATTTTTTTATTTACTTTCGAATCACCGCTGCAATCGCAATGGATTTCTTGTCTACCATATTCGGATCAAATAGTTCCGTGTATCGGAAAATCAAAATTTGATTGGAGAACGTTGAAATAACACAAAAAAAAAACTTCATTGACAGAGAGATCTGAGAATGGTAGAAAATGTTGATTAAATAAAATGCAATTTATTTCATTTTGTACACGCACACACATTTATCATGCAAAAGGTTTAAGTGAATTGCAACCGGGACGCGATAGTCAATGCACAGTCATTTGAACTAAATAGAGAAAAAAATCATCCAATTTCGAAATGATATTTTTCACATACACACATACACTCACTCACACAACACTTACATACAAACTTTAAACGAACATTACATAATTACATATTGATAAACATATAATTGTGAATGCCAACCGACTTGAGAAAGTGGCTGATGAACAGTTATGCCTTGAACGCTGCGCATTGCTCCACAAACATTGCACGCACACCCATTTATTTTTACCAAAAAGAAGAAGAAAAAAAAATAAACTATGCATATGTACGATGATGGAACGTACAAAGAAAGATCAACAGTGAACAAAAATTCTTTGACTATTATCCAATAAAACGTATCATAGCGTTTTTTTTCTTCTCTCCCTTCTAAATATTTCTTTGCCCATTTTCTCTGCTATCATTTCACACAATCTGTGTGTAACTCTCTTTCTTGCCAAAGATGTGACTGTGTCGAAACAAAATCGAAGTAAATTTCAGTGAGATAAAAGAAAATCGTATAACAAACAGAAAAATGCCGCTTATCTAACAGACTGAATGAGTGAATTAACACGAACATAAGGAAAAAAAACGCTATCAAGAAATAACTGATACACACAGACACACAGGTGAAATGCATCACACGATGAATGGTTCACTATTTAGGAATTTAAAAAAAACAAATAAACATAATTAAATTAAATCGAATCGTACATTTTTTTCTAGCATTTGCAAATCGTTCAACGTAAGGAATTTATTCTCTGTGTTTTTCCTGAATGAAACACACAAACACACATATTTTCTCGCGTATTGTGTGTAGCCGTGTTGTTCACACCACCGTTTGCCGCTCACGCCGAGCGAGAGATAGACAGAGAGAATGAGATACGGATTTTATGTGGTGACGGCAACGACGGCGGCTGGTTTGTGTGTCTGTTGTTTGCGCGGGCGCAATGAAAAGTCGTTTACACTGAAAACGCCCTAGCATCGGAACTGCGATGGCGGTTGCTCGATCTAAATTTGGCAATTATAAAAGAATGCGTGAATCAAAAAGCTCGGAAAATAGCTTCAATCGCTAGAGTTCAAACACCAAAAAATACAATAATGACAACAAAACAAAACGCAAACGACGGAGACTGAAACGAAAACAATTGCACCATTTTTCTCACCCACATGTTCAATGCGGCAAACGAACTGTTGTTGTTGTTGTTTTTTTGTCATTAAATACCAAATTCCCAGTGATAACAGTTGCGCGTCCTCACTTTTTCTCTATCTCTCTTTTTCCATGGTTACGAAATTGATGTTCCGAAGAGCAACAGACACTTTTTGCAAATGAAAAAATTCATCGGATTTTTGACTAAAATCTAGTTGGATGTACAAGAAAATATTTACACGAAACATGGTGAAATTCTTTATACACAGTTGTAATTGATTTATGGAACAAAACATGAAATATTACTGAAAAAAAAAAGAGAAGAAAAGAGGGAGACCGCGTATAAGCTCTGTGAACATTTTACGATGTGCTTGATATGCAATAACAATATCTCTTCGGCAAGTTACATACAGTGAAAATATGAAATATTTCTGTGAAAATCATCAACATTTGCCAGAGAGGAAGATAGAGGGAGGGAGAGAGAAGCTCCAAATGGTATAGAAGAAATGCAATTATATGGCGGCAAATGATTAACAACGACAAAAATGTATGTTACACTTCAATGTGTACAGTGAAATATAATCGGAATCCAATGTGTACGCGCACAGTAGTACGGGTTTGCAAACAGGCCATAGAACCGAAAAGAGACAGAAAGATCGGTCGCGGCCTCGAATCAATCGCTAAGTATTCACTATTGTGTGTGCCAACCATTTGATATAATACTTACGCAGTTTTGAATTTCAAGCAAGTGTGTCCGTAACACACACACACACGATTGTGATAAAGCGATGTACGTTCAGCAAATGACGACCTTTGTATCTTTTTCACCGGAACGGTGAAAATAAAGGAAAGCAGACATGAAAAATGCTTCACTTTATGTAATGTTGTTTTCTTTGTCTTTTTCATTAATTCGTTTCATTTGTTCTTTTCGTTTCAATGGATGTCATTTAAATAGAGTATTCGCTTGTTGTGTGTAGTCTTTGCGAAAAGTCTTTGGCGGCGGAATAGTTGAACCGCATATTTGCAATACTCGTGTCATTTTTGTTGATTTTTATGTGCGTATCACAAAAACCCCTGATAAAAAAGAAACACAAGAATAAAATACACACTAACTTATATACATACGGCAACGATAAAGAGAGTCAAACAGTGCAACGGAAAAATGACAGTCGGCGGCTCGGTGCAATCGAATCGCAGCACTTGGAAAACTGATTCGAGAACACCACATGGAACATTTGTATTTGTGTCCATTGCTGTTGTTGCTCTTTAGCCGCACAATTGAAATCATACAATTCTTTGTTTGCAATTGGAATGAAGAATAAGACTGACATACACTAGCCATCCAGCGACAACACATGAGTTCAACCATTAAGCGTGCGATGAGTGTAGCTCAAACAGAAATGCCATTTTGTTGTTTTCTTCGCACAAAATAAAAATCGAATTCTCAAAAATGGCTAACGATTTTTCGCTCGACTTTTAATGTATTATGCACACATACACACACACACACACTGCCATTTGTACAAGCTGCCAACGTCATATTCCAAATAACTCGAGCATTTTCAAAATGCGAAGGCATTGTTGACTCGTTGGTTTGTTGTTGGCATTTTTTCTTCATGCTCCATCTGTGTGTCTCTATTCCACTTACATACTGTCTCTCTTTTCTTCTTACTCAATCACACTGTGTTCGCGTTAATTTTTTTTTGTTGCATTTCTCGTGTGCAACATCGATGCCGATGCGTGTAAACTTGTTGTCATTTAATTGTGTTGTTTGACTGCGGGCAATATCACGTAAAAATAACAACAAAGTGTACACCATCGAAGCATGCATGGAACGTCATGAAACCGTGTTGAAGAGAAGAAAAAAAAATATCATAAATTTAAAAAAAAAGCCAATGAAAATAGATCAAATGTTGTTGTTGCTTTTTTTTTATTTCGAAGTCAGACTTTTCTGCGCGCATCGAGCACAACAGCAACGAACGATAAATCATAATAAGTAAGGGAATTTCGCACGCCATTTGAATATTTTTCTTTTCATAAATTTGTTACTTTACATTGAAATTCCTTTTCTCTCTTTCAACTGGAGCGCACAGTTCATTCTTATACGACAAATATGCTACAAATTGAGATTCATTATTATACACGAAATATACGTTCGTCAATTTAAAGCCATATTAGTTCAAAATCGACAGAGTGATTTTGAATGTGTCCAGCAAGAGAAGAGCGAAAGAGAGAAAGGGAGAGCAAGAAGTAAAAGAAAAATACTTCAATCGTCAAATACAAGAATTGCCAAAGGATTTTCAAACGAAATAAAAATGCATGTGAAATAAAGTGGATCAATGTAGAAAAATCACGAGGAGCGCAAATGTATAAAATGTATCAAAGAAAACGAATATTGGGTGCCCATGGCACATAGCGCACACACACACACGGTAGCATACAAATAATCATACAAATAGACAAGGTATAAATCATTTGTGACGGAATGGTTTGTACTATTACATTTGATTGTGCCGTGCTCTGTTCTGCGCCAAATACAAATGCACAAAGCATTAATATTTAAATATAATATATGGAGAAATGTGAAGTGCATGCATACGCGGGGATGCGTATAAAATTTGTGTACAACAAAATCGACCAAAAAAAAACCCACTGTATTTTTGTATTCAGTGAATCGGTGTGCTAAGCACATTTATGTAGCTCGAAAATCAAACTAAACCATGCGCGCACTTCCATCAAGAAAATATGAATTTTAAACGCGTACATTCATTCGGTGCGATAGAGAGTTTTGGTTCGCAAAACGTTTAAATCTAAATATGTCGATATCGTCAATCTGCAACGATGTCAATTGAATACGATTTGTCGCGATGCATTTCATTGTGAATGCTTGCATTGAAAAATGAGAGAGCCACATTAAATTAGCATGAAATATGCAATAAAAAGAAAATCAAGTCGATTAAATGGCGCACATACATATTTTTTATGTTCTTTGGTTTTCGCATGTGTGTGAGAGAGAGAGAGAGCCAGAGCAGGATAAAGAGAGAAAGAGAAACGAAAAGAAAAACGGAGCATATCTCCATTAATCGTTCTTTTTATCAATCAGCATTACATTTTCTTTGTTACTGATTCTGTTCGCTGTGTTTTTTATTTGATAGAAAAAAGGCCACTAAGATCACAATTGCTTTTGCTATTACTTGCTACGATCTAGCGCATCCATTTCATAATATTAATGAAGTAATCAGCAATAATGTAAAATTAATAGCTCGTACAAAATGGTTGGGACTTGACTTGGCGCATCAACGAAATGAAAGAAGAAGAAAAAATCTTCTGGAACGATCGAAATGAAAAAATAGATATAGATAAAGGGAGAGAGAGAGAGTAAGAGAAAAAGAGCGAAATAAGAACATATACAGCACAGTACAGAGAGTGGCAAATAATATTGTATATATGATATGGTGAGTGAAGTGAGTGAACGCTCATAAAAGTTACTAAACGGAAGAAAACACATTAATTGTGGCACATCAAGAAAAACCGGGCATAAAGAACAAAATAGCAGGCAAGAATTGTCTAATA